TCTTTCCAGCCCTCAAAGCATTTTTCCAAACCTCCCCTCATAAAAAAGATAAAAATAGACACGCAACATTCCCACGACCGCGCTTTGCAGGCTCAGGGGAGGGGTGGGTGGGTTCCGTGAGTCGTCAGAACGGACTTTTTTTTTGGGGGGGGAGCTGCCTTTTGGTTTTGGGGAGCCGCTCTGTCGTTCGTCCCCTCCTTTGGGGAGCCCGTGAGGGGAGACTTTGGTAAACAAAAACTGGCGGGTGGGGGAATGGCCGACACGCGGGATAGGAGGAAGAGTTCCCAAGCCCAGAGAGAGAGAGAGAAAAGGGACCCGCGTTTGTATTATCTCGTTAAATGTATTGTTATTTTGTAGCAGCAACAACTTCCACTTATTTGCTTGAGAGAGAGTGTGTGTGTGTTTCTTTAGCTGGAGCGACTTTCAAAGATGGGTGGACTTCAACTCCCAGAATTCCCCATGCTTTAAGAGGGGGGGGTGCATCTTAAAGCATGCTGGCCAGGGAGTTCTGGGAGTTGAAGTCCAGGCATCTCCAAGTGGCCAAAGTTGAGAAACAGTGGTATATAGCTCGATACCTGTGCTTCCCTATGAAATGTGATCGGTCTTAGTTTTGGGGGAGAAAAATAAGGGGGTGGGGGGGGAATTGTGCCTCTGCCTATCAGCATTCCTCTGTCTAGCATCCTGTCAGTGTGTGAGAGAGTTGAGGGCTGTTTGGAAACTGAAACAGTATTTGCTGTGTGAGCAAGAAGGAGACAGCAAGGAGCCTGGGCGTGGCTTAGCTCAACTGTTCTGTACTAAAGCGGCTTGCTGTAAAACTGAAACCAAAACTCCTCTGCTGGTGTTTTGCATTTGGAACAGATTTCTTTTCAGGTGGGGAGGGGGAGTAGAACTCCTTAGCATCAGAGCATGTTAATAATAATAATATAGGAAATACTAATAGCTCTGATGGTCATTTCAAAAAATCCTTCCTTAGTGAGCACCTAGAAGCCAAGAGGAACATAGGTGCCAAATTTAAAGTTTGTAGGCTTTACGGTTCTGGAGATTTTGTGATGATTCGTGAGTTATATTTCGCTTTTATCTATGTAGATTTCTCTGCAACTTTGGGAGTTGAAATCCATACACTTTAAAGTATGTTGGGTAGGGAATTCTGGGATTTGTTGGGTGGGGGGTTCTGGGAGTTGGAGTCCACCTTTCTTCAAGTTGCTCCTGTTTCTTTGAAGATGGTTGCAGCATCCCGCGGTCATGTGATCACTTTTGCAACTTTCTGACAAGCCAAGTCAAATGGGGAAAACCAGATTCACTTATTGATTGTGTTACTCACTTAACAAACATAGTGATTCATTCAACAACTGTAGCAAGAAAGGTCATAAAACAGGGCAAAGTGTAGCAACGGTCTTGCTTAGCACCAGGGCTTGATTGGAGCCGTAAGTTGAGGACTACTTGTGTGTTCATCCTGATGGCTCCCTTGTTGGGCTTGAAGATGGATGGCCTTGCCGGGAAGGCAGACCTGATGATGTGCTTCTGGTGTGAAGTGACTCTTTCCAACCCACCGCAGATAAGCTGATTCCCAGAAAGTCAAAATGTTTTAGACGTGACATTTTTATTCTGACATCAAGTTTTCTTTGGTTCACGGCTTTGACATTTTACACAACCGATGGTAATAGTTGTCTTTGAAGCGCAGAAATTTCCCTTTTGCCTCCGGCGGCCACATTAGCAGAGTGATCTCCTTTTGGTTTTCAACCAGCCACATCAGCAGCGCCAGAGCTGTATTCAGATAGTCCTCGACTTACGATGGCAAGGGAGGCCGACATTTTAATGGCTAAGCCAGGCAGTTGAGTTTGGTCCCATCTTACAGCCTTTTTTTTTTTTTTTTTGGCCATGATTGTTACAACAAATCATGGCAGTTTTTCAGTGAATCGTACGGTTGTTACGCAAACCTAGTTTTCCCTGTAAACTTTGTTAGATAAACAGAGTTGAAGGGACCTTGTGGGTCATCTAGTCTAATCCCCCCCCGGCCAAGCGGGAGACCCTATACCATTTTTGACAGATGGCAGTCCAGTCTCTTCTTGAAAGCCTCCAGTGATGAAACTCCCACAACTTCTGAAGCAACTTCTGCTCCATGGGTTGATTGCTCTCCCTGTCAGAAAATTTCTCCTTATTTCTAGGTTGAATCTCTCCTTGTTTAGTTTCCATCCATTATTCCTTGTCTGGTCTACAGGCGCTTTAGAAAATAGCTTCACCCCTTCCTCTTCCCTGTGGCAGCCCCTCAAATATTGGAAGATGCTATCATGTCTCCCCTGGTCCTTCTCTTCCCTAGACTAGCCAAGCCCAGTTCCTGCAACCGTTCATTGTATGTTTTAGCCTCCAGTCCCCTCATTATCCCGGTTGCTGTTCTCTGTACTTTTTCTAGAGTCTCAACATCTTTTTTATAGTGTGGTGACCAAAATTGGATGCAGTATTCTCGTTGAGTTTGGATCAACTCTGAATTGAACCTGGCTGAAGCCGTCTTGTGCTGCTTCACAGTTGCCACACACCATGGGGGAAGGATGAGGGGGGGAAATAGCTAGACTGCAAATTATGATTGTATGGCTCTCGGACAGTGCAGCCATCATAAATACATGCCAGTTGTCCAAATTTGGATCACGTGACCATGGGGATGCGGTAAAAATGGTCGGGTAAAAAATGGCCGTAGGTCACTTTTTCCATCACTGTTGTAACTTTGAATGATTGCTAAAATGAAAAGAGTTTTAAAAATATCCATCTCATCCTGGGCACCCTTTTTTAACTATTACCATAGATAGAGTAGAGTAGAGTAGAGTAGAGTAGAGTAGAGTAGAACAGAATAGAAATTAGAATGAAGAATAGAATGAAGAAGAGAAGAGAAGAGAAGAGAAGAGAAGAGAAGAGAAGAGAAGAGAAGAGAAGGATACAGGGATAGAATTTAAATAGAATGGGATGGAACGGGATAGAGAATAGAATAGAATAGAATAGAATAGAATAGAATAGAATAGAATAGAAGGATATAGGGGTAGAATTTAAATAGAATGGGATGGAACGGGATAGAGAATAGAATAAACAATAGAATAGAGAAGAGAAGAGAAGAGAAGAGAAGAGAAGAGAAGAGAAGAGAAGAGAAGAGAAGAGAAAAGAGAAGAGAAGAGAAGAGAAGAGAATATGAAATGGAATGGAATATGGAATGGAATAGAATGGAACAGAATGAATAGCAATTAGAATAGAACGGAACACAACAGAATGGAATAGAATAGAGTAGAGTAGAGTAGAGTAGAGTAGAATAGAATAGAATAGAATAGAATAGAATAGAATAGAATAGAATAGAATAGAATAGGTCTGCCAGCACATCATTTCTGGCATACATTTGATAAACACCAGTTTGCATACAGAAGAGATAGATCTACAGAGGATGCTATAGCCATCCCTCTTCACACTACTCTGACTCATCTAGAACAGCGGGTGGCGGGGGACTTATATGAGGATGTTTTTGTAGATTTTAGCTCTGCATTTAACACAATTCTTCCACATAGATTAGTGTCTAAACTTCTGGACCTTGGACTTTCTTATTCAATCTGCCTTTGGATTATGGAGTTCCTGTCTGGCCACTCACAGAGGGTCAGGTTAGGTAATCGTACCTCTTCAGCCCTTATTCTTAACACTGGTACACCACAGGGCTGCGTGTTGAGTCCCTTACTATATACTCCTTATGTGCATGACTGCATTCCCACTCACGCTAGTAATACTATTGCTAAATTTGCAGATGATACAACAGTGGTGGGACTCATCTCCAGGTGGGGATGAGTCTGCCTACTGAGATGAGGTGGGCCAATTGCTTTTGTGATGTGGAGACAATAATTTGGTCCTCAACATTAATAAGACCAAGGAGCTTATAGTGGACTATAGAAGGAACCTCCAGCCCTGGCTTATGAGTGGAGACCAAGTGGAGCAAGTGGCCAGTTTTAAGTTTCTGGGTGTTACCCTAAAAGAGGACCTGACCTGGGGTGCTCACATTGTAGCACTTGTCAAAAGGGCCTATTGCAGAGATTAGACTACCTGAGACTTCTCAGAAAACAACAACTGTATGAAAAACTGCTGGAGACCTTCTACCGCTGCACCATAGAGAGTATCTTAACTTACTGCACCTCTATGGTTTGCCAATTGTGCAGTGGCAGACAGGGCAGCGCTCCAGAGGGTTAACATCATTGCCCAGAGGATCCTGGGTTGTCCTCTCCCCTCTTTGGAAGAGCTTTATAGCTCCCGTTGCCTTAAGGAAGTTCAAAACATTCTCAAAGATCCATCTCATCCTGGGCACCCTTTTTTTTTTTTGAACTATTACCATCTGGCAGACGGTACAGGATAATAAAGATAAGGACAGGACAAAATAGGCTGAAAAACAGCTTCTGTCCCA